AGGGAAAGGGAGTAACTTTCTAGTGGGGAAACCCATCAGAAAGTAGTTTCACCAAGTGATCAAGGTTAATGTCATCAGTGGTAAAGCACTGACATCGTGATCGTGAGCCCTTTCATATGATGCAGTGAGAAGGACACAGAATTGTGGTGGTACTGCCGAAAATGCAGAGCCTCATTCCAATTAGGAAAACATCAGACAAACCAAGTGGAGGGAACATTTGATGATATAAACGATTGGTACTCTTCCAAAGTGAAAAGGTCATGAAGATAGGTGTGGTGGACAGACGTTAGGGTGACCCCATGGTTCCTGCCTGCCGGTGTCTATGCCATTGTATGACCCCCTCCTTTGGAGTGCAAGCGGGACCTGTGACTTGCTTCTAACCAATAGGAAATGGCAAAGGTGAAGGGATGCCACTCCTGTGATGTGATTAGGTTAGTTTATATGGCAAAAGTAACAGGATGTCCCTGCTGTGGTTATATTATGTCATAAAAGACTCCACCACAGCAGACTGGAACAAGAGACTCTTCTTGTGGACTTGAACTAAGTGGCAGTTTTGGAGGAGCCCGTATTGCAAGAAACTGCAGGCAGCCTCTAGGACCTGAAAGCATCCCCCAGCTGACAGCCAGCAAAAAGTTGGGGCCCTCAGTCATCCAGCCGCAAGGAAGTGAATCCTGCCACTAATCTGAATGAACTTGGAAATGGACTCTTCCCCAGCTGAGCCTCTGAATGAGAACACAGCCCAGCTGACAACTTGTTTTCAGCTTATGAGACCAGCGTGAGGAGGGCACCTAGTGAAACTGTGTCCAGACTCCGGGTCCACAGAAACTGTGAGATAATAAATGTGTGTTGTTTTAAGCTAAATTTGTGGTAATTTGTTATGGCAGCCACTGACAACTATTACCACAAGAAAGACTGTGGAGACTGGAAGGGACTAAGGAGAAATAACAGCGAAATGCAATGTGGGATCACACATAGGATCCTGGGAAAGAGAAAGGACATTAATGGGGAAAACTGGTGATATCTGAATAAGATATGCCGTCTGTAGTACTGTACCAATGTTAATTTCCTGGTTTTGATCACTGTTCTATGTAAGATGTTAACATCAGGTTGAGGCGCATACAGGGACTCTCTGTAATATTCTTGCAACTTTTCTCTAAGTCTAAAGTAAGTGGAAATAAAAATTTTAAAAAAGGAAAATTTTGCCTACCCTAAGATCATGAAGGTATTATCCTGTTTCTTCTTCCAGAAACTTTATTGTTTCAGTTTTCACGTTTACGCCTGTGATCTATCTTGAATTTATATCTGTGTATGTGGTGGGATCAGAGTCATAATCATTTTCTTCATGCAGGTAGGCAATTGTTCAGGCACCATTTTTTTTTCTGAAAAGACTATCCTTTCTTCTCTAAATTGCAGTCAGATTTTTATTGTTAAAAAATATGACTATATATATGCAGGTCTCTTTCTGGACTCTATTCTGTTGGTCTGTTTATCAATCCTGTGTCAGTCCTCCTGTTTTAATTACAATAGTTTTACATTATGTCTTGATATCTGGTAATGTGCACTTGACAACTTTGTTCTTCAAAATTGTCCTGACTTTTCTGGATTCTTAGAATTTCCATATAATTTTAAAATGAATTTGTTAATGTTCTAAAAAAAATCTGCTGACATTGTTTGGAGATGCATTGAATCAATAGGTCAATTTAGAGAGAACTGATAATCTTAAAAGTGATTCTTCCAATTCATGAAAATGAAATGTTTCCATTTATTTAATTTTTCTTTAATTTCTTTCCTTAATGTTTGCTTTCAGTCTAAAAGTCTTGCACCTCTTTTGTTAGACTTATTCCAAAGTGTTTTACATTTTTCATGCTTTTTATAAACTGTTGGGATCTTTAAAATTTCATTTTTCAGTAGCTTTGCTTTCATACAATTGTGTTTTATACTGTGACCTTTTATTTCACAAGTTTGCTAATAAATTCATGTTAATTCCAGTTGTTTGTAGAACTGAAGTATTCTATGTACAAAATGATGTTATCTGCAAATAAAGATGGATTTACTTCTTTCTTTCCAATCTTCATACCATTCATTTCACTTTTTTCTCTTACGGTATCGGATAGGTCTTCTGCACAAAGTTGAACAAAAGTGATAAAAGTGGACAACCTTGCCTTATTCCTGAACTCAGAAAGACAGCGGTCCATATTGTCACCTCTCAGTTTTATTCTGTAAGATCCCCTTTATCAGATTAAAGAAGTTCTCTTCTGTTCCTAGTTTGCTGAGAATTTTTATCACAAACTGATGTTCATATTATCAAATGGTTTTTCTACATCTAATGAACGGATATTTCTCCTTTATTATTTAAAATTGGAAGGTTACATTGACTGCTTTCTGAAAATTAAGTGACTTTTGAATTTCTCGAATAAATGTCTTGGTCAGATGTATCACTGGTTTCTCCTTGCTAAGATTTTGTTTAATATGCATATACCTTTGTTCATGAGAAAGATACACCATAATTTTCCTTTCTTGTAATATCCTTGTCAAGTTTTGATGTCACAGTTATGCTGGCCTCATGATATGGTCCTTTTTTGGTTTGTCTAGAAGAGACTGAATTTGATTGGCATTTTCAATTTTTAATTAATGTTTGGAGAATTTGCCACTGAAGCCTCTGGGCCTGACATTTTGTGGGAAGGTCCTTAAAATAGATTTAACTTCTTTAATAAATACAATAATATTCAGATTTTCTACTTCTTAGATCAGTTTCATTAAATTGTGTTTTCCAGAAATTTTAAAATTTCACCTACATTTTCAAGTTTATTGTCCTACAGTTGTTCATAAAATTCTGTTATCAATTTAATGCCTGTAATATATGTAGTGATATCTCCTTTTATATTCCTGATATTGGCGATTTTTTCTTGATCAGTACAGCTAGAGATTTATGAATTGTATCTCTTCAATGAAATAGCTTTTGGCTTTATTGATTTTTCTCTGTTGTGTACTTGAGTTTTTTATGTCATTGGTTTCTTTTAGTGTTTTACTTTCTATAATTTGCTTTTCCTTTCCTAGCTTCCAAAGGTAGATCATTGATTTTTAACTATTCTGCTATTA